TTATTGTTGTTGTTTCTTGCTCCCTTTGCTCAAGTTCTGTTAAATTGCCTTTGTCTCAACCCACGAGTTTTGCCTTTTTCTTCCGATTTTCCCCTCCTGGACGCGGTGGTGGTGGGGGCTCTGGTTTGCGCGAGCGGCTGCCACGTGGTCCTTTGTTGCCGTCTGAGGCCAAACCACGACAACTGGTCTGCCCAGTTACTCAAACCCACCCAGACAATTGCACTGGGCTGTATCTTGCCCTATTTTCTTGCTGCTCTGCCCCATTCTGACACCCTTCACCCTCACATGTGCCATCTACCCCTGGTACCCTGTGCACTGCCCTGCCCCTATCTCCATCCTGCTATTTCCTGTGGGGTCTGCAGCCCCACCACTGTCCCTTCCCACAGGACCTAGCTCAGCCATGGCCGTGACAGGCTGACCATATGTCGGGGATGGAGAGGAGGAAGGAGATGCCCAATTTCCTGTCCTGTGGGGGGCAGGACATGGCCCTGGGATGATGATACCTGCTCAGGACTGAGCTCTGATGCTCCTGCTCCTCCTGTCCCCTGCAGACGTGGTGACCCTGGATCCAAACACGGCTCATTCTGAACTTGTGCTGTTGGAGGATTTGAGAAGTGTGAAGTGTGGACCCCCAGAACCTGCCCAACACCCCAAAAGATTTAGTTATTGGTGGTGTGTGCTGGGCCTGGAGAGGTTCCTGGAGGGGAGGCACTGCTGCGAGGTGGAGGTGAAGGAGGAGGTGGGAGGTGATTCATGGTGGGGTGACCATGGAGGAAGACAAGAGACATCCTGAACCCTGAAGAAGGTGTGTGGGCAGTTTGGCACTGGAAAGGGCAGTTTGAGGCTCTCACCTCTCCTTGCACCGTCCTGTGCCTGTCCCCACTCCCCAGGAGGATCTGGGTCTGTCTGGACTGCACACAGGGGCTGGTGACTTTCCTCAACGCCGACACTGGGATCAAGATCTTCACTTTCCCACCAGGCTCATTCCACGGGGAGACCCTGCGCCCCTTCTTTTGGGTGGGAACAGAGAAAACCCAGCTGTGCCTCAGGGGCAGCACCCCCTAGACCCTCATCCCCACTTCCATCCCCACCACAGCCTCTGGCAGACCCTGTTATTCTCCAGAGTCTCCCCACTCTCCTCTCCTGGACCCCACAGGAGATGTCCCTCCCTGACCTGCCCCAGCCAAGGGAGCAAATGGGGAGTGAGGTGCAGGGGACAGGGGCTGCTGTGGGATCCCCCCCGGGGCTGGGAGGCTCCAGGCAGTGGGAGGTGTCCTCATTTCAGCTTTGATGGCGTTAATTTGCTTTCTAGTATGGGGTGCATTTTGGATTTAGTGTGAAAATGCCATTAGTCACACATATTTTTATACGTGGCTGAGAAATGTTCACATCAGTCCAAGGGCTTTTCCAGCTTCCCCTCGCAGCTGAGAGGGAGCACGGCCAGGACGAGGCAGCCAAAGGGATATTCCACCCCACAGACGTCCTGCTGGGCATAGACATAGGGGCTGCCTGGGGGCTGGGACCCTGCATCACTGCTGGGGACGAGCTGGGCAATCAGTCTTGAGGTAGTGAGGGCCATTGGTGTTGTATCACTTTATTTTGTATGGCTTTTTTACAATTAATAATGTTATTTTCCTCTCCTGTAACTGTTGTCTTAAACTGTTTACTTCATTCCACCCCACAAAGTGATTTCCCATCCTTTTCTCCCTCTTCTCCCCGCCCTACAGAGGGGGAGGCAGGGAGTGAGGGAGCTGCTGGCTGGGGTTAAACCATGTTGGGGGGCAAGGGACCGCTTGGACCATCATGGCCCCGCCTTGGTCCCTCTTGGAACCCCTTGAGCCCTCTTGGATCACCGGGGAACCTCTTGGAAGCCCCTTGGAAACCCTTAGAACCCCTTGGGCCCCCTTAGAGCACCTTGGATCCCCTTGGAACTGTGCTGGAACACCCTTGAACACATCTGACTGCCTTAGTCCCCTTGGGACCTCTTGGATCCCCTCAGATCCCCCTCCAATCCTCTCAGATCCCCTGGAACCCCTTACAACCCCTTGGATCCCCTGGGCTCTGCCCGGCATGTACTCACCAGGAGCATCCCTCTGTGCGCCGAATGACCCTTTTCTAAAGAAAACTGCTTTTTCTCTACCCAATTGCCTTCCCATTAGACACTGGGTGAAGCCGCCTGTGCCTTTTTGTTTATTTGGGGGATTTTGGGCTCTATGTTCGATAACATCTTTGTCCCGGAGCAGCTTTAGGTGCAGGAGAAGAGGAAACTTCTGAGAGTGGAAGGAATTCCCAGCCTGGGGCTATTTTACAGTGATATTTTGTGTTATTGACAGACACTGCTGTGGGGACCGGGGGTGGCCCTGGGGGGCTCTGCCTGACACCGTACTCACCGTGAGCATCCTCCTGTGCCATGTGACCCTTTTCTGAAGAAAACTGTTTTTCTCTCCCTAATTCCCTTCCCGGTTGGACACTGGGTGAAGGCAGCTGCACTTTTTTTACTTATTTAGGGGATTTCTGGCTCCTTGCATGGGAGCATCTTTGTCCCAGGGTGGCTTTAAGTGTAGCAGAAGAGGAAACTTATGACTGTGGAAGGGAATTTCCAGCCTGGGGCTATTTTAGATGGATTTATTACAGTGGTGATTCACTGCTGCTGCTGTGGAGCTGGGAGCTGAACTGTGGCTGGGCACCACTGGGCAGGATCTGCTGGGAATGGGATGTTGGGGATACTCGGGGCTGGGAACGGGACCTCCCTGTTCCTCTGACCTGGTCGGGGCTGTTTGGGTGCCCCCTAATCCTCTTTAGCTCCCCCTGCACCTCCTGGACCCCCCTTGGTTGGATACGGCTCCTGGACCCCTTTTGGGTTACAGATGGGCTCATCCCTTGTCCACATGCCCAGGTGTGGGTACAGTCCCCAGGAGCCCCAGACATGGCTATGCACCCCCCCACACCTCCCCCGAAACTCCATACCCACCCCTGCTATGGGTACAGCCCATTGCCTCCCCCGCAGCCCTTCTTTTGTGTATGGATGTGGATGGGACGTTGGGGACAGCAGGGAACAGGTCCTCCCCATGCATGTGAGGTCCCCAGGGTGACAGGGCAGAGGGACAGGGCACAGCTGGGGTGTCCCAACCCTCGAAGCCCAATCCCAGCCTCATCCCCAACTCCCCACAAGCTCCCGGCTGTTGTGGGGCTGCAGGGACACTGCTGGGCTCCTCCCCCATGTCCAAAAAGCACAACCAAGCTCCAATCACAATGTCCTCACCACCAAATGCAGGTCTTTTTTTCTTCTTCATTTTCTATTTTTTATTACCAGAAACCCAGATGAAGGGATTCAGGGTAAATTTAAGTTGAGGCCAAAATAGCCCATTGCTGCTGACAGATGCTCTCCCCCCACCTCTCACTCCCAGGAGAGGAGGAGGAGAGAGAAAGAGATTCAGGAGTTGAGCAGGAACTAAACTACTTCAAGGAGATATTAATTATAAAATAAAAGGGAAAGCAATGAAATAGATACAATATCTACAAACCTGCATCAAGATCCCAGGATTGAGGCACGGCAACAAACTCTACAACTCCCGGAGAGTTATAAAGCAGGGATGTTTATTGCAGCGCCGGGTGCCAGGGGGATTGCTCCTCCCAACTTGCACACCGGGTCCTAAAACAAGTGTCCATTTATGGTAAGAAAGTATACATATTCATTAATAGGGGCTGGGCTATTATAATCAGTTCCAGGAATAGGCATAACTCTTGTAATTATTTCTGAGAACTCATTATCATTTCTCCTTTCTGTGTTTACAAGACAAGGCCCGTTCCTCACTCTGGAATGCTGGGCTCCCGGCTCTCTTATTTGTCAAGCTCCACTAAATCTACACTAACAACGTTTAACCATTCATTCTCCAAATCAGGATGAAGTCACCAGCAGGCACTGGGGAGCCCCAGACTGGACTCAGCCATGGGTGGGATCTGGATTCCAGCTCTGGGGTCAGGAAGGCACAGATTGGGATCGAAGGCAGATGACCAGTTAGGGTCCTCCTCAGATTGTTGGCCACTGGAGAAAGAGCTGATCCTTTGATCCTCAGGTTTTTGTACTGGGCGTGGGGCAGATGAGATGGAACCCTCCCTTGGTCATGTTGGTGACCTCCCTCGTGTCCCCCCATTCCTCAGCCGAGGCCAAACTGAGAACTGGAATTATTACATAGAAAGTTGCTTCTGTTTTACCTCAAACTGGGACAGGGGCTCACCCTGGTCCCTCTCCCCACATCTGGGTATGACACCAGGGACCCCCCGGAGCTGGGTATGACACCCTGTTGGTACCCAGATCAAACTGGGACAGGGGCTCACCCTGGTCCCTCTCCCCACATCTGGGTATGACACCAGGGACCCCCCGGAGCTGGGTATGACACCCTGTTGGTACCCAGACCTTTGGGAGCTATGGGTAGAGCTCCCCATGAACCTCCCCACACCCCTTACTTTGGGCATGGGCTCCTCATACATAAGGTGGGACACTGGGGACGGCAGGGGACACCTCCTCAGGTGTCTACTAACCCAGGGCTGTAAGGTTCCCAAGGTGACAGGGCACAGCCGGGGTGTCCTGACACTCAAGACCCCCCAGACCCATCTTGTCCTCTTGTCCCTGGCTCCCCACAAGCTCCTGGCTGTTGTGGGGCTGCAGGGACACTGCTGGGCTCCTCTGCTATGTCCAAAAATCACAACCAAACTCTCAGTTCTACATGATCTCTCTCCCAAAATCCTTCTTATTCTTCATTTTTCATTCTTTTTCTCCTTTTTTTGGTTCCTGGGAATGAAGGGCTGCCGAGTTTCCTTCCCAAATAGACAAATGTCCTGAAGCACCAATAAAACCCCCCAAAAGATGGATGGAGCAGAACTGATGCAGGTGGATGGTTCATCATGGTCTGGTTGGGGGTTTGCTTCTTCCTTTGCGATAATGGCCGTACACAGGAAAATCAGCCCTTTCTGGGGAAAAAAACCCGCTTATTTATGGGTGCAAAACCTCACCAATGTCTCTGCCCCAGCACAGGCTGCCAGGAGAGGTGCCATCCTGGGAAAAGCCACATCCACCACCTTGAAACCAGGAAGTGGGAGGGTGATGGGTGCCCTTTGGTGCTTTGCCCTTGGCGGTTTCTTTTATGACTCTGGAGTTGCTGATGTGGATCATTTCTGGATGAAGAACCTGATGTGGGAGGTGGAGCCTTAAACCGCTCCCCAGAATTCCAGACCCTGGAACCGGGCAAAGGTTGGAGATGTTGGGGGCAGCTCCTACATGTCGGGTGAGTGAATTTCCTTTCCGTGAGGGATTTAGAATATTGAATGAATTTCAAGTCTTTGGAAGGGATTTTGAGTAAATCTTGGGGAGGGCAGTGGGGCAGAGGAGGGGCTGCACTGGGGGCCGCGCATGGTCCCATCCTGCCCTCGACCAAGGGTTCCTTGTGACGTCAGGATGAAGGTGGTTTGGTGGGATTTCTGGAGCCCCGTTGGGGGCAGGTGCAGCCCTTCTTCCTCATCTCCTCCATGGTGACTTTAACCCCCCCTTGCCCTCCCTCTGCCTCCCTTCCCACCCTCTTCTCCAGCTCCGGACGCAGATGGGGTTCCCCACGAGCCCATGGGGCCTCCTCAGTCCTTTCCTGACTCTCCACCTCCTCCGGCTGGGATCAGGTAGGGATCCTGCAGGGCTGGGGGGGCTGAGCGTGCTCTGGGTGGCAGATGTGGGGCAGGGGAGGTGCTGTGGGGCAGGAGGAGCTGAGCCCAGAGCTCGGCCATGCATGGCTTTCACTATCCCTTGGGCTCTTGATGCCACATGTCCATTGCCCTGGGACATCTTCAGTCCCACCCTGCGGTGCTCCCTCAAAGCATTTGTGCCTTCTACAGGGGCCAGCTGGGCTGGGGGTAATTTTCAGGGTGTGGGTCATTTCTGGAGTGGGGATCATGATTTTCTGGTGTAGGTCCTCACCACAGGGAAACCTCCTTCTCCTTTGAATCCTCTTACTCCCTCTCCAGTTTCTCCAGGGCCTTTGGGCCATGGGGAGGGCAAAGCAACACCCGCAGGATGGAGCAGGCACCGCTCACTCCAAGCTAGCCCCTTGCCATGCGATGCCCGTAAATTAACATGAGTGCAACCTCCCTCCCTCTGTGTCCTTCTCTGTCACCCAGCGGAACTCAGAGTGGTGGGACCAAGGCAACCTCTCCTTGCCACCGTGGGGCAGGACATCGTGCTGCCATGTCACTTGTCTCCACGCATGGATGCTCGGAGCTTGGAGATCAGGTGGATCCGGCAGCAGATCTCTGAAACGGTGCACCTCTACCGAAACGGAGACGACCTGTATGGCGAGCAGATGGAGGAATATGATGGAAGGACAGAGTTGGCCAGAGATGGTCTCTCCAATGGGAGCCTGGACTTGCGAATCTCTGGGTTGAGACCCTCTGATGATGGCCCGTACGTCTGCACTGTGCGAGATGCTGCCACTTATGCAGAAACTACAGTGGAGCTGGAGGTGGCAGGTTTGTGGCTGCTGTGGTGTTTCGTGGGGATGTTCCAGGTGTCCCTGGGTTGGTGTGTCTCTTCAGGAGCTCTGTCCCATCCTCACATACATCCTTTCAATGCCGAAGGCCAGGAGCTGTTGAAAGCTGTTTGGGTGTGAGGGGTCTCTTCCCATCTGTCCCTGCCCAGGATGGAACATGCACATGATCCTGGAGGTGTTTTTGGGGCAAAGTAGAACAGATGCAGTGGCTTTAGCTCTCTGTGGTGTCCTCGTGGTGCAGTGTTGGTGCAGAGACCCTGCCTTGAGAAGCACTCGCTCCTCTGCTGGGCTGCTTTATGGGAGATCTGGGGTCATTTGGCATCAGGGCTCTCTGGTTCCTGCAGATGTTGGGGTGGGTTTGGTGGTGTGAGGAGCACGTACCCAGCCCACAGCCCCCTGAGCACCCTGTGATGTGTCTGGCATGGGGTTGGGTCTTGGCCATTGAGCTGGGTCCATCCCTAACTCAGGACTCTCCTGGGCTCTTCCCCCAGCCATGGGCTCTGTCCCTCTCCTCTCTCTGGAGGCTTACGAGGATGGAGGCATCCGGGTGGTGTGTTGATCGGCCGGCTGGTACCCACCACCACAGGTGCTGTGGAAGGATGGCAGTGGGCAGCATCCCCCCTCGGTCTCTCAGAGACGTTCCCCTGATGAGAGGGGCCTCTTTGAGATCCAAGATGTCACCGTTGTGAGTGGGAAGGGAGAGGGGAACGTGTCGTGCGTGGTGAGGAACAGCCGCCTGGAGCAGGAGCAGGCGTCGTCCCTGCACATCTCAGGTACAGGATGGCAGCAGGGCTGGGGTTGGCCACGCTGCTTGAGGGGGTTTTGATGTCGTGTGGCAGGATAAATATGCCAGGAGAGCAGGAAGGAAACGGGGGTGTAAAATGAGGTATTTTCCTAATGTTTTTTTGTTTCTCAGCTCCCTTTTTCCACAATGCCCATCCCTGGATGGCAGCTCTGGGTGTCTTCCTCCTGCTTTCAGTGGTGTCCGCTGCCCTCAGTGCTTACCTCTTCCGAAGGAAAGGTGAGTTTGCATCACCACGATGTTTTGCCTTCATTATGGAAGCTCTTTGGGCAAAGGAAGGATGGGGAGAAGGAGACGGGGTGTGGGTGGGAGGAGAGGGAGCATGGGCAGAGCATCTGGCTGGTGGGAAGGTCCAAGAGACCCTGGGGAGATGGTGCCAGGGATGAAGCAGCTGCTCTCCTGACCTCCTCTTCCTCTGCCTTTGCTTTCCAGTGGTGCAGTCCCGAGCGCTGGGTGAGTCCTTCTGGCTCCTGCCACCAGCAAAGCCTCCCTCTGGGAGGGATGTGGATTTGCCTGGTTCTTGCTGTTTCTCTGGTCATTGATGTGTGTTGCTGGAGCCCAGAAGGGCACTGGAGAGCCCTGGGGTTGGGAACTGAGCCCGGGAGGTGTCCTGGCTCATGGGAAGAAGCAGGGACCAGTACTGACTGAGCTTTAATCTGGCTGAACCTTAAATCTCTGCTGAAGTCAGGTGTACCTGCAGAGTGCCTGGATGGTCTGGGGTGGGGATAGGAGGGCAGGAACCCCTGCCGTGAGCCAAGGGGCCTTTGCCCATTCCCCAAAGAGAAGGAGTTTGGGCTCAGCCCGTGCTCTGCCTGCTCACACCATGGGCTGACAAGCTTTCCCCTCTCATCACTCATTGATTTTGTTGCTTGCTTTCCAGGGAAACGAGATGCAGAACTGGGTGAGTCTCCATGACTTCCTTCTGGCTCATTGTCCTCTCCTGGGTGCTCTGGGCTCGGCCCCTTCCCCCCTTGCCCGTCCTCTCCATCCCTGCATCCCCTGGGTCCATGGAAAACCCGGGGGGAGGTGCCTTGGGGGGTGGGCGGCTTGGGGCCACCAGAGTAGAGATGGACACTCTCCCCTCTCCAGAGTCTCTGGGGAGAGTTTGTGGGAATTGATCAGGCTGGAGGAAGCCATCCTAGGGACCCAGGGAGTGTTTTCCCACTCCCCAAGAAAGGAGGAGTTTGGAGTCTCCCCATCTCTGCTTACTCCTTCTTGAGCACTTTTGGGATGAGAAGCTGTCCTCTCTGACCAAATATTGCTTTTGCTTTGCAGAAGAACAAGCTGCACTCTTGGGTGAGTCTCCGTGAGCTCCTCCGGGCTCGATGTTCTCCTCCTGGCCCTCTGTGCTTACCCTTTCCCACCTTGTCCTCTCCACCCCTGCATCCCCCGGGTCTGAGTAAACAACGAGGGGATGTGCCTGGTGGGGTGGGCAGCTTGGGGACACCAGACCAATCTGGACCCTCTCCCATGCCCAGAGTCCTTGGGGACCAGCCATGGGGCATGACCAGGCTGAAGGGAGGCATTCACAGGCTTTGGGGGTCTGTTCCCACTCCCCAGATAGAAGAAATTAGGGATTTGCCCAAAGCTCTGCCCACTCCTACAGGAGCGGCCATGGGGTGAGAAGCTGTTCCCCTCTCATCACTCATTGCTTGTGTTTTTTCCTTTCCAGAGGAACGGGATGCAAAAGTGGGTGAGTCTCCATGAGCTTCTTCTGGCTTGGTGTCCTCTCCCAGTCTGTCTGTGTTTGACCCCTTCCCCTCTTGCCCATCCTCTCCATCCATGCATCCCCTGGGTGTGGGCAAACCCCGAGGAGATGTACCTGGGGTGATGGGAAACTCGGGAACACCAGACAAGGGATGGACCCTCTCCCCTGCCCAGACTCCCTGGGAACCAGCCGTGGGACATGACCAGGCTGGAGGGAGCCGTCCCTGGGACCCTTGGAATGTTTTCCAACTCCCCAAGAAAGCAAGAATTGTGGGTTTCCCCAGATCTGTTTACTCCTTGAGCTCTTTTGAGATTAGAAGCTGTCCTCTCTGACCAAATATTGCTTTTGCTTTCCAGAGGAACAAGCTGCACTGTTGGGTGAGTCTCCGTGAGCTCCTCCTGGCTCAATGTCCTCACCTGGGCCCCCTGTGCTCTGCCCTTTCCTCCCTTGCCAGAGCAGGGATGGGCCCTTTTCCATTCCCACAGCCACTGGGGACCAGTGGTGGGATGTGACCTGCTCCTCTCTCTCCTTGTAGCTTGGAGAAAGTTTCTGCTTCCTGAAAATCCAGGTAATTGGGGCTTTTATTGTCTTTTGTGTTGGTTTATGGGTCATTCTTCTCCCTTTTCCTCTGTGCGAGGTGTAACTTGGATGCAGTGAAGGGACTGGCCATGCCTGGGCGTGTTGGTGGCCAATACCTGCCAGACCTTGGCTCTGGGACGGATCTCACCCCATTTCCTTGCCATTCCACCCCATTCTGAACTACATTCTGGAGCCCCAGAGGCACCATCTCCCTCCAAGGCCCCACCAGTGTCTGTTTCCATGGGTCCGAGCTTGGCTGTGGCCTTGCTGGGGCCGGCCCCGTGGTGGGGATGGAGAGGAGGAAGGAGATGCCCACACTCCTGTCCTGCAGGGCAGGTCCTGGCCCCAGGGGGTGAAACCTGCTCAGGACTGAGCGCTGATGCTCCTGCTCCTCCTGTCCCCTGCAGACGTGGTGACCCTGGATCCAAACACGGCTCATTGTGGACTTGTCCTTTCGGAGGATTTGAGAAGTGTGAAACGTGGACCCACGCGGCAGAACCTGCCTGACACCCCCGAGAAATTTAGTTCTTCGCCCTGTGTGCTGGGCCAGGAGAGGTTCCGGGAGGGGAGGCACTGCTGGGAGGTGGAGGTGAAGGGGGAGGTGGGAGGTGATTCATGGTGGGCTGTTGGAGTGGCCAAGGAGTCCTTGGAGAGGAAGAGGAATGTGTTGCTGAGCCCTGCAGTAGGTGTCTGGGGGCTGTGGCACTGGGGAGGGCAGTTCAAGGCTCTCACCTCTCCTCGTACCATCCTTTCCACATCCCTGGTCCCCAGGAGGATCTGGGTCTGTCTGGACTACACTCAGGGGCTGGTGACTTTCCTCAACACAGACACCGGGGGTGAGATCTTCACTTTCCCACCTGCCTCATTCCAACGGGAGACCCTGCGGCCCTGGTTTTGGGTGGGAGATCTTGAAACCCAGCTGTGCCTCAGGGGCAGCACCCCCCAGACCCTCAGCCCCACTTCCATCCCCACCACAGCCTCCGGCAGACCCTGTCCTTCTCCAGCGACTCCCCACTCTCCTCTCCTGGACCCTGCAGGAGATGTCCCTCTCTGACCTGTCCCAGCCCAGGGACCAGAGGGGGACTGAGGGACAGGGGCTGCTGTGGGGTCCCCCCGCAGGGCTGGGAGGCTCCAGGCAGTGGGGGGTGTCCTCGTTTCAGCTTTGATGGAGTTAATTTTCTTTCTAGCACCTGCTCCGTTTAGGATTTAGTGTGAGAATGCCATTGATCACACAGGATTATATACATGGCTGAGAAATGTTCACATCAGTCAGGGGCCTTTCCAGCTTTCTCTCGAAGCTGAGAGGGAGCACAGTCAGGACGGGGTGGCTAAAGGGATATTCTACCCCACAGATGTTGTGTTGGGGATAGACACAGGGGCTGCCGGGGGGCTGGGACCCTCCATCACTGCTGGGGATGGGCTGGGCAAATAGTCCTCAGGTTCTGAGGGCAACTGGTGCTGTGTCCTTGTATTTTGTGTATTTTTTTACAATTAATAATGTTATTTTTTTCTCTAGTAACTGTTGTCTGTAACTGTTGTCTTTATTCCAATCCACGAGGTGTTTTCCCCTCCTTTTCTCCCTCTTCTCTCCCCCCTGGTGGGGGATTAGGTGGGGGGGTAGTGAGTGAGTCGCTGGCTGCGGGTTAACCATGCTCGGGGGCAAGGGAACTCTTGGATCTTCATGGACCCTCCGGGATCCCCTTGGAACCTCTTGGAAGTCCCATGGAACCCCTTAGAGCTTCTTGAGTTCCTCCTGGCACCTCTTGGATCCCTTCTGACCCTCTTCCATCCCCTTGGATCCCTTGGATTCCTTGAACCTCTTGCATCTCCTTGGATCCCCTTGAAACTCCTGGGAACCCCTTGGCACCTCTTGGATCCCCTCAGATTCCACTCAGAACCCACTCCAATTCCCTCCAATCCTTTGGTATTCCTTGGATCCTTTTGGATCCCCTCGGTACCACTCAGAACCCCGCTTGGAATACCTTGAACCCCTTGTTACCCCTTGGATCCCCTTGAAACCCTTTTCAACCCCCAGGAACCCCTCTTGGACCCCCTGGAACCTCTTGCAACCCCGGAATCCTTTGCATCCCCTGGGCTCTGCCTGACACCGTACTCACCGTGAGCATCCTCCTGTGCCATGTGACCCTTTTCTGAAGAAAACTGTTTTTCTCTCCCTAATTCCCTTCCCGGTTGGACACTGGGTGAAGGCAGCTGCACTTTTTTTACTTATTTAGGGGATTTCTGGCTCCTTGCATGGGAGCATCTTTGTCCCAGGGTGGCTTTAAGTGTAGCAGAAGAGGAAACTTATGACTGTGGAAGGGAATTTCCAGCCTGGGGCTATTTTAGATGGATTTATTACAGTGGTGATTCACTGCTGCTGCTGTGGAGCTGGGAGCTGAACTGTGGCTGGGCACCACTGGGCAGGATCTGCTGGGAATGGGATGTTGGGGATACTCGGGGCTGGGAACGGGACCTCCCTGTTCCTCTGACCTGGTCGGGGCTGTTTGGGTGCCCCCTAATCCTCTTTAGCTCCCCCTGCACCTCCTGGACCCCCCTTGGTTGGATACGGCTCCTGGACCCCTTTTGGGTTACAGATGGGCTCATCCCTTGTCCACATGCCCAGGTGTGGGTACAGTCCCCAGGAGCCCCAGACATGGCTATGCACCCCCCCACACCTCCCCCGAAACTCCATACCCACCCCTGCTATGGGTACAGCCCATTGCCTCCCCCGCAGCCCTTCTTTTGTGTATGGATGTGGATGGGACGTTGGGGACAGCAGGGAACAGGTCCTCCCCATGCATGTGAGGTCCCCAGGGTGACAGGGCAGAGGGACAGGGCACAGCTGGGGTGTCCCAACCCTCGAAGCCCAATCCCAGCCTCATCCCCAACTCCCCACAAGCTCCCGGCTGTTGTGGGGCTGCAGGGACACTGCTGGGCTCCTCCCCCATGTCCAAAAAGCACAACCAAGCTCCAATCACAATGTCCTCACCACCAAATGCAGGTCTTTTTTTCTTCTTCATTTTCTATTTTTTATTACCAGAAACCCAGATGAAGGGATTCAGGGTAAATTTAAGTTGAGGCCAAAATAGCCCATTGCTGCTGACAGATGCTCTCCCCCCACCTCTCACTCCCAGGAGAGGAGGAGGAGAGAGAAAGAGATTCAGGAGTTGAGCAGGAACTAAACTACTTCAAGGAGATATTAATTATAAAATAAAAGGGAAAGCAATGAAATAGATACAATATCTACAAACCTGCATCAAGATCCCAGGATTGAGGCACGGCAACAAACTCTACAACTCCCGGAGAGTTATAAAGCAGGGATGTTTATTGCAGCGCCGGGTGCCAGGGGGATTGCTCCTCCCAACTTGCACACCGGGTCCTAAAACAAGCGTCCATTTATGGTAAGAAAGTATACATATTCATTAATAGGGGATGGGTTATTATAATCAGTTCAGGAATAGGCATAACTCTTGTAGTTATTTCCAAGAACTCATTATCATTTCTCCTTTCTGTGTTTACAAGACAAGGCCCGTTCCTCACTCTGGAATGCTGGGCTCCCGGCTCTCTTATTTGTCAAGCTCCACTAAATCTACACTAACAACGTTTAACCATTCATTCTCCAAATCAGGATGAAGTCACCAGCAGGCACTGGGGAGCCCCAGACTGGACTCAGCCATGGGTGGGATCTGGATTCCAGCTCTGGGGTCAGGAAGGCACAGATTGGGATCGAAGGCAGATGACCAGTTAGGGTCCTCCTCAGATTGTTGGCCACTGGAGAAAGAGCTGATCCTTTGATCCTCAGGTTTTTGTACTGGGCGTGGGGCAGATGAGATGGAACCCTCCCTTGGTCATGTTGGTGACCTCCCTCGTGTCCCCCCATTCCTCAGCCGAGGCCAAACTGAGAACTGGAATTATTACATAGAAAGTTGCTTCTGTTTTACCTCAAACTGGGACAGGGGCTCACCCTGGTCCCCCTCCCCAAGGCTCGGTGTGACACCAGGGACCCCCCGGAGCTGGGTATGACACCCTGTTGGTACCCAGACCTTTGGGAGCTATGGGTAGAGCTCCCCATGAACCTCCCCACACCCCTTACTTTGGGCATGGGCTCCTCATACATAAGGTGGGACACTGGGGACGGCAGGGGACACCTCCTCAGGTGTCTACTAACCCAAGGATGTAAGGTCCCCAAGGTGACAGGGCACAGCTGGGGTGTCCTGACACTCAAAACCCCCCCATACCCATCTTGTCCCCTCATCCCTGACTCCCCACAACCTCCCGGCTGCTGTGGGGCTGCAGGGACACTGCTGGGCTCCTCCACCACGTCCAAAAATCACAACCAAGCTCTAAACTAACCTTAACCTTCTCGCAGCCAAATGGACCTAATTTTCCTTCTTCCCCTTTTTTGCTTTTTTTTCTGCTCCTTAATGTGTTCAAGTGCTGGGGGTGGAGTTTGAAGGCAGCCCAAAACCCTTAACACTGCATCCGGAAAGCGAGGGTAAGAGCGAGACCTCGGGTGTACCCTGTTGGCTGCTTCCTCCTGCAGCTCGTACGGGTCCGGTGAGTGAATTTCCTTTCTGTGAGGAGTTTAGAATATTAAATTTCAGTTAAAATCTTGTAAGGGATTTTGAGTAAATCCTGTGGAGGGTTGTGGGGCAGAGAAGGGGCTGCACTGAGAGCCTCACGTGGATTCTATTCGTCAACCAAGGGTTCCTTGTGACGTCAGGGTGCAGGTGGTTTGGTGGGATTTCTGGAGCCCCGTTGGGGGCAGGTGCAGCCCTTCTTCCCCATCTCCTCCATGGTGACTTTAACCCCCCCTTGCCCTCCCTCTGCCTCCCTTCCCACCCTCTTCTCCAGCTCCGGACGCAGATGGGGTTCCCCAGGAGCCCATGGGGCCTCCTCAGTCCTTTCCTGACTCTCCACCTCCTGCGGCTGGGATCAGGTAGGGATCCTGCAGGGCTGGGGGGGCTGAGCGTGCTCTGGGTGGCAGATGTGGGGCAGGGGAGGTGCTGTGGGGCAGGAGGAGCTGAGCCCAGAGCTCGGCCATGCATGGCTTTCACTTTCCCTTGGTCTCGTGATGCGATATGTCCATTGCCTTGGGACATCTTCAGTCCCACCCTGCGGTGCTCCCTCAAAGCATTTGTGCCTTCTACAGGGGCCAGCTGGGGTGGGGGTAATTTTCAGGGTGTGGGTCATTTCTGGAGTGGGGGGCACGATTTTCTGGTGTAGGTTCTCACCACAGGGAAACCTCCTTCTCCTTTGAGTCCTCGTACTCCCTCTCCAGTTTCTCCAGGGCCTTTGGGCCATGGGGAGGGCAAAGCAACACCCGCAGGATGGAGCAGGCACCACTCACACCAAGCTGGCCCCTTCCCATGTGATGCCTATAAATTAATGTGGGCACAATCTCCATCTCTCTGTGTCCTTCTCCGTCAACCAGCGGAGCTCAGAGTGGTGGGACCAAGGCAACATCTCCTTGCCACCGTGGGGCAGGACGTCGTGCTGCCGTGTCACTTGTCCCCACGCATGGATGCTCGGAGCTTGGAGATCGGGTGGATCCGGCACCTGGTCTCTGAAACGGTGCACCTCTACCGAAACGGAGAGGACCTGTATGGCGAGCAGATGGAGGAATATGCTGGAAGGACAGAGTTGGCCAGAGATGGTCTGTCCAGTGGGAGCCTGGACTTGCGAATCTCTGGGTTGACACCCTCTGATGATGGCTTGTACGTCTGCACTGTGCGAGATGCTGGCACCTATGCAGAAGTTATGGTGGAGGTGGAGGTGGCAGGTTTGTGGGTACTGTGGTATGTCCTGGGGACATTCCAGATGTCCCTGGGTTGGTGTGTCCCTCCCAGAGCTCTGTCCCATCCTCACGTCCTTTCATTTGGTGCCGAAGGCCAGGAGGTGTGGAAAGAGGTTGGATGTGAGTGGGATCTTCCCATCCATCCCTGCCCTGAATGGAGCATCCATGTGGTGCTGGAGGTGTTTTTGGGGCAGAGGAGCACAGACACGGTGGCTTTGGGTCTCTGTGGTGTCCTCATGATTCTGTGTTTGTGCAGAGACGCTGCCTTGAGGCACTGAAGCTTGGCCACTTGGTGCTCCTCTGCTGGGCTGTTTTCTGGAAGTTCTGGGGTCATTTGGCATCAGGGCTCTCTGGTTCCTGCAGACCCTGGGGTGGGTTTGGTGGTGTGAGGAGCACGTACCCAGCCCCACAGCTCCCTGGGCACCCTGTGTTGTGTCTGGCCTGGGGTTCAGTCTTGGGCTTTAAGCTGAGACCATCCCTAACTCATGACTCTCCTGGGCTCTTCCCCCAGCCTTGGGCTCTGTCCCTCTCCTCTCTCTGGAGGCTTACGAGGATGGAGGCATCCGGGTGGTGTGTCGATCGGCCGGCTGGTACCCACCACCGCAGCTGCTGTGGAAGGATGGCAGTGGGCAGCATCCCCCCTCGGCCTCCCTGAAACGTTCCCGTGATGAGAGGGGCCTCTATGAGATCCAAGATGTCATCGTTGTGAGCGGGAAGGGAGACAGGAACGTGTCGTGCGTGGTGAGGAACAGCCGCCTGGAGCAGGAATTGTCCCTGCACGTCTCAGGTACAGGATGGCAGCAGGGCTGGGGTTGGCCGCGCTGCTTGAGGGGGTTTGATCTCGGGGGGCTGGAGAAACATGCAGGGGGAGAGGGAAGGGGACGGGGGCGCACCCACAGGTGAGTTTTATTGCAGGAGATAACGTGACCCTGGTGTGCTTCAGGGGAGCTTTGGTGTGTCCATGGGATGGGGAGGAGGATGTCCTGTTGAGCTCACGGCTCCCAGCATGAGCCTTTAGCAGCTGGCAGTTTGGGGTTGTTTCGGTTTCTTTCTTTTCCTGACACAGGGGAATGTAAAATGATCCCTTTTCCCGATGTGGTTTTTTTTCTCAGCTCCCTTTTTCCACAATGCCCGTCCCTGGATGGTAGCTCTGGTTCTGCTCCTCCTGCTTTTAGTGATGTGTTTTGGTGTCATTGCTTATCTCTTCCAAAGGAAAGGTGAGTTTGTAGTTGGGAGGATGGAGTGGAGGGGCTCAGGGCTTGAGTGAGGCCCATGGACATACGCAGAATGGGATCAGAGTTGTTTCAGAACAGGTGTTGCCTTCATGAAAGAAGCTCTTTGGGCAAAGGGAGGATGGGGAGAAGGACACGGGGTGTGGGTGGGAGAATAGGGAGCACGGCCAGAGCATCTGGCTGGTGGGAAGGTCCAAGAGACCCTGGGGAGATGGTGCCAGGGATGAAGCAGCTGCTCTCCTGACCTCTTCTTTCTCTGCCTTTGCTTTCCACTGGTGCAGTCCCGAGCGCTGGGTGAGTCCTTCTGCCCCCTGCCACCAGCAAAGCCTCCTGAGAAAGGAGATCCCTGGGAGGAGTGTGGCTTTGAATGGCTCTTGCTGGTTCTCTGGTCATTGATGTGTGTTGCTGGAGCCCAGAAGGGGACTGGAGAGCCCTGGGGTTGGGAACTGGGCACGGGAGGTGTCCTGGCTCATGGGAAGAAATGGGGAGCAGTATCAAATGAGCTTAAATCAGCTGAGCCTTAGGTCTCTGCTTAAGTCAGGCATAACTGCGGGGTGTCTGGGTGGGCTGGGGTGGGGATAGGAGGGCAGGGAGCCCCCTTGTAAGCCAAGGCGGCTTTTCCCATTCCCCAAACATCAGAAATGTGGGCTCAGCCCATGCTCTGCCTGCTCGAGCCATGGGGTGCGAAGCTGTCCCCTTTCATCACTCATTGCTTCTGTTTTTCCTTTCCAGGGAAACGAGATGCAGCCCTGGGTGAGTCTCCATGAGCTCCACCTGGCTCCGTGTCCTCTCCCGGGTGCTCTGTGCTCGGCCCCTTCCCCATCCCCTCCATCTCTGAATCCCTTGGGTGCGGGCCTGCTCTGGGGGAGGTGCCTGGGGGGTTGGGCAACTCGGGGACACCAGACAAGGGATGGACCCTCTCCCCTGCCCAGAGTCCCTGGGGACTCTCTGCTGGACATGAGCAGGCTGGAGAGAGCCATCCCTGGGGGGGACCCCGGAGTGTTTTCCCACTCCCCGAAAAGGAGGAATTTTGGGGATTCCCCAGCCCTGCTTGCTCCTTCTTGAGCACTTTTGGGATGAGAAGCTGTCCTCTCTGACCAAATATTGCTTTTGCTTTCCAGAGGAACAAGCTGCACTGTTGGGTGAGTCTCCGTGAGCTCCTCCTGGCTCAATGTCCTCTCCTGGGCTCCCTGTGCTCTGCCCTTTCCTCCCTTGCCAGAGCAGGGATGGGCCCTTTTCCATTCCCAAAGCCACTGGGGACCAGTGGTGGGATGTGACCTGCTCCTCTCTCTCCTTGTAGCTTGGAGAAAGTTTCTGCTTCCTGAAAATCCAGGTAATTGGGTATTTCATTGTATTTTATGTTGGTTGATGGGTCATTCTTCTCCCTTTTCCTCTGTGCGAGGTGTAACTTGGATGCAGTGAAGGGACTGGCCATGCCTGCGCATGTTGGTGGCCAATACCTCCCAGACGTTTGCCCTGGGATGGATCTCACCTTGTTTTCTTGCCATTCCACCCCATTCTGAACTACATTCAGGACCCCCAGAGGCACCATCTCCCTCCAAGACCCCACCAGTGTCTGTTTCCATGGGTCCGAGCTTGGCTGTGTCCGTGATGGGGCTGGCCCCGTGGTGGGGATGGAGAGGAGGAAGGAGATGCCCACTCTCCTGCCCTGTGGGGCACATCCTGTCACGGGGGGGGTGAAAGCTGCCCAGGACTGAGCGCTGATGCTCCTGCTCCTCCTGTCCCCTGCAGACGTGGTGACCCTGGATCCAAACACGGCTCATTCTGAACTTGTCCTGTTGGAGGATTTGAGACGTGTGAGATGTGGACCCACGTGGCAGAACCTGCCCTACACCCCTCAGAGATTTAGTTATTGGCGCTGTGTGCTGGGCCAGGAGAGGTTCCGGGAGGGGAGGCACTGCTGGGAGGTGGAGGTGAAGGGGGAGGTGGGAGGTGATTCATGGTGGGGTGTTGGAGTGGCCAAGGAGTCCATGGAGAGGAAGGGGATAATGGATCTGAAGCCTGAAGAAGGGATCTGGGCAGTTGGCAGGTATAAAGGGCAGTTCATGGCTCTCACCTCTCCTCGCACCGTCCTTTCCAACTCCCCGCTCCCCAGGAGGATCTGGGTCTGTCTGGACTGCACACGGGGGCTGGTGACTTTCCTCAACGCTGACACCGGGGGTGAGATCTTCACTTTCCCACCAGGCTCATTCCACAGGGAGACCCTGCGGCCCTGGTTTTGGGTGGAAACATGGGAAACCCAGCTGTGCCTCAGGGGCAGCACCCCCTAGACCCTCAGCCCCACTTCCATCCCCACCACAGCCTCCAGCAGACCCTGTCCTTCTCCAGAGACTCCCCACTCTCCTCTCCTGGACCCTGCAGGAGATGTCCCTCCCTGCCCTGTTCCAGCCAGAGGAGCAGAGGGGGACTGAGGGACAGGGGCTGCTGTTGGGTCCCCCGGTGCTGGGAGGCTCTGAGCAGGGCTGTGTGTCTGCATTTCAGCTTTGATGGAGTTAATTTTCTTTCTGGTATGGGCTGCATTTTGGATTTAGTCTGAGAATGACATTGATCACACACAATTATATAAGTGGGTGAGAAATGTTCAGATCAGTTCAAGGGCTTTTCCAGCTTCCCCTCTCACCTGAGAGGGAGCACGGCCAGGATGAGGCAGCCAAAGGGATACTCCACCCCAGAGATGTCCTGCTCAGGATAGAAATGGTGGCTTCCGGGGGGCTGGAACCTTCCATCTTTGCTGGGGCTGGGCTGAACAATCAGTCCTCAGGTGCTGATGACAAATTGTGTTGTATCCCTTTATTTTGTATATTTAGTTTCTATGTATTTTTTACAATTAATAATGTTATTTTCCTCTGAGGTGTCTTTTGTCTTAAACCATCTTTGTTCCAACCCACAAGGTGTTTTCTCCTCCTTGTTTACCTCTTCTCTTGACCCTAGTGTGGTACATGGGGGAGTGAGTGGGCTGCTGGCTGGGGTTAAACCACGCTGGGAGACCGGGAACCTGCTGGGCCCTCTTGGAGCCCTCCCCTTTGGATGCCCTTGGAGTCCCTTGGAGCCCAATCAGATCCCATTGGGAACCCCCTTGATGCCCTTGAAGACCCTTAGAGCCCCATTGGATGCCCTTGGGCCCCCTTGGAACCCCTTGTAAGCTGTAGGAATCCCTTGTAAGCTGTAGGAATCCCTTGTAAGCTGTAGGAACCTCTTGGGCCCCTGTGGATCCCTTGTACCCTTTGAACCTCTTGGATCTTCTTGGAACCCCATTGGAATCCCCATTGAACCCATTCCACCACCTTGGACTCTTTGTAACCCCTTAGACGCCCTCTTGGTTCCCCCTGGTTGCATCCTCCAATCCCCTTAGATCTCCTGGAACGTTCTTGATCCCCTCGGGTCTCCCTGGTACCACTCAGAATCCCCTTTGGAACTCCTTGGACCCTTTGAATCCCCTCAGATCCCCTTGCAACACCTTCAACCCTCCAGGAACCCCCTCTTGGACATCCCTTGGAACCCCTTGCATTCCCAGGGCTCTGCCCAACAGGGTACTCACCATGAGCATCCTCACGCGTCCCGTGACCCTTTCCTGAAGAAAACTGCTTTTTCTCTACCCACTTCCCTTCCCACTCGGGCACTGGCTGAAGGCGCCTGTGCCTTTTTGTTTATTTGGGGGATTTTTGGCTCTGTGTGTGTCAGCATCTTTGTCCCGGAGCAGCTTTAGGTGCAGGAGAAGAGGAAACTTCTGAGAGTGGAAGGAATTGCCAGCCTGGGGCTATTTTACAGTGATATTTTGTGTTATTGACAGACACTGCTGTGGGGACCGGGGGTAGCCCTGGGCCAGGGCCAGGGGGTGGCTGAGCCCAGAGGGACACGGGAAGGGACAGGGGGATGCTCAGGAAGGGGCTGGGACTGTGGAAATGGAGAACAAAGCCCAGATGGGACATCCCCGACTCCTGGGGCTGGTTCCCATGACTGGAGCAGGTTCTGGTGATCGGATCCACGTCTGGTGATGCTGCTGTGCAGGTAATGGGGGGAGGATGCCTGGAGCTGGCCCTGGGACCCCCCCACGCAGCACCGACCCTGGAGGTTACAGCCCCTCTTTACATCCCCTTCTCCTTAGTCCCCCACCCCTAGGGCTGGATCTAGGTCCCTGACACCCCTTGGGGATCATCCTGGTCCCCCTCCCCACATCTGGGGATGACCCCAGGAACCCCCCTGGAGCTGGGTATCACACCCCCCTGGCACCTACCCCTATGGGAGCTATGGACACAGCCCCACCCTGAACCCTCCTGCACCCCTTATTTTGCGCATGGGCTCCCTATGCAGAAGGTGGGACATTGGGGACAGCAGGGGACATGTCTGCCCCAGACACCTGAGGTCCCCATGGTGACAGGGCACAGCTGGGGTGTCCTGACATTCAAAGCCCCTGCCCCCAACCCCATCTTGTCCCCCCTCCCCACAATCTCCTGGCTGTTGTGGGGCTGCAGGGACACTGCTGGGCTCCTCCACCGTGTCCAAAAATCACAACCAAGCTCCAATCACAATGTCCTCACCCCCAAATGCAGGTCTTTTTCCTTCCTCAGTGCTAGTTTTTCCTACCAGAAACCCAGAAGAAGGGATTTAGGGTACATTTCAGGTTGAGGCCAAAATGGCCCATGCTGCTGACAGATGCTCTCCCCCCACCTCTCACTCCCAGGAGAGGAGGAGGAGAGAGAAAAAGAGATTCACGAGTTGAGCAGGAACTAAACTACTTCAAGGAGATATTAATAATAAAATAAAAGGGAAAGCAATGAAATAGATACAATATCTACAAACCTGCATCAAGATCCCAGGATTGAGGCACGGCAACAAACTCTACAACTCCCGGAGAGTTATAAAGCAGGGATGTTTATTGCAGCGCCGGGTGCCAGGGGGATTGCTCCTCCCAACTTGCACACCGGGTCCTAAAACAAGTGTCCATTTATGGTAAGAAAGTATACATATTCATTAATAGGGGCTGGGTTATTATAATCAGTTCCAGGAATAGGCATAACTCTTGTAGTTATTTATGAGAACTCATTATCATTTCTCCTTTGTGTGTTTACAAGACAAGGCCCGTTCCTCACTCTGGAGTGCTGGGCTCCCGGCTCTCTTATTTGTCAAGCTCCACTAAATCTACACTAACAACGTTTAACCATTCATTCTCCAAATCAGGATGACATCACCAGCAGGCACTGGGGAGCCCCAGACTGGGCTCAGCCATGGGTGGGATCTGGATTCCAGCTCTGGGGTCAGGAAGGCACAGATTGGGATCGAAGGCAGACGACCAGTTATGGTCCTCCTCAGATTGTTGGCCATTGGAGAAAGAGCTGATCCTTTGATCCTCGGTTTTTGTACTGGGCGTGGGGCAGATGAGATGGAACCCCCCTTGGTCATGTTGGTGACCTCCCTCGTGTTCCCCCCATTCCTCAGCCGAGGCCAAACTGAGAACTGGAATTATTACATAAAAAGTTGCTTCTGTTTTACCTCAAACTGGGACAGGAGCTCACCCTGGTCCCCCTCCCCAAGGCTGGGTATGACACCAGAGACCCCTCGGAGCTGGGTATGACACCCCACTGGTACCTACTCCTTTGGGAGCTATGGGTAGAGCTCCCCATGAACCTCCCCACACCCCTTACTTAGAGCATGGGCTCCTCATACATAAGGTGGGACACTGGGGACGGCAGGGCACGCCTCCTCAGGTGTCTATTAACCCAGGGCTGTAAGGTCCCCAAGGTGACAGGGCACAGCTGGGGTGTCCTGACACTCAAAGCCTCCCCATACCCATCTTGTCCCCTCATCCCTGACTCCCCACAACCTCCCGGCTGCTGTGGGGCTGCAGAGACACTGCTGGGCTCCTCCGCCATGTCCAAAAATCACAACCAAACTCTAAATTAACCTTAACCTTCTCGCAGCCAAATGGACCTAATTTTCCTTCTTCCCCTTTTTTGCCTTTTTTTCTGCTCCTTAATGTGTCCAAGCGCTGGGGGTGGAGTTTGAAGGCAGCCCCAAAACCCCCAACGGGTGCTTCTGGAAAGCGAGGGTAAGTGCGAGACCTTGGGTGTATTCTGTCGGCTGCTTCCTCCTGCAGCTCGTACGGGTCCGGTGAGTGAATTTCCTTTCTGTGAGGAGTTTAGAATATTTAATTTCAGTTAAAATCTTGTAAGGGATTTTGAGTAAATCCTGTGGAGGGTTGTGGGGCAGAGAAGGGGCTGCACTGAGAGCCTTACGTGGATTCTATTCGTCAACCAAGGCTTCCTTCCGACGTCAGGATACAGGTGGTTTGGTGGGATTTCTGGAGCCCCGTTGGGGGCAGGTGCAGCCCTTCTTCCCCATCCCCTCTGTGGTGGCTTTAACCCCCCCTTGCCCTCCCTCTGCCTCCCTTCCCACCCTCTTCTCCAGCTCCGGCCACAGATGGGGTTCCTGGCAAGCCCATGGGGCCTCCTCAGTCATTTCCTGACTCTCCACCTCCTCCGGCTGGGATCAGGTAGGGATCCTGCAGGGCTGGGGGGGCTGAGCATGCTCTGGGTGGCAGATGTGGGGCAGGGGAGGTGCTGTGGGGCAGGATGAACTGAGCCCAGAGCTCGGCCATGCATGGCTTTCACTTTCCCTTGGTCTTGTGATGCGATATGTCCATTGCCCTGGGGCATCTTCAGTCCCACCCTGCGGTGCTCCCCCAAAGCTTTTGTCCCCTCTGCAAGGCCTGGCTGGGCTGGGGGATCATGATTTTCCGGACAAGTTCCCACCCCGAGGAATCCTCCTTCTCCTTCGAGTCCTCCTGCTCCCTCTCCAGTTTCTCCAGTGTCTTTGGGCCATGGGGAGGGCAAAGCAACACCCACGGGATGGAGTGGGCACCGCTCACTCCAAGCTGGCCCCTTCCCATGCGATGCCCGTAAATTAACATGGGTGCAACCTCCCTCCCTCTGTGTCCTTCTCTGTCACCCAGCGGACTTCAGAGTGGTGGGACCAAGGCAACCTCTCCTTGCCACCGTGGGGCAGGACATCGTGCTGCCCTGTCACTTGTCACCACACATGGATGCTTGAAGCTTGGAGATCAGGTGGATCCGGCACCAACTCTCTGAAACGGTGCACCTCTACCGAAATGGAGAGGACCTGGATGGTGAGCAGATGGAGGAATATAATGGAAGGACAGAGTTGGCCAGAGATGGTCTGTCCAGTGGGAGCCTGGACTTGCGAATCTCTGGATTAAGACCCTCTGATGATGGCCAGTACGTCTGCACTGTGCTAGATGCTGCTACTTATGGAGAAGTTACAGTGGACCTGGAGGTGGCAGGTTTGTGGCTGCTGTGGTGTTTCGTGGGGATGTTCCAGGTGTCCCTGGGTTGGTGTGTGTCTCCAGGAGCTCTGTCCCATCCTCACATTCCTCCTTTCAGTGCCAAAGGCCAGGAGCTGTTGAAAGCTGTTTGGGTGTGAGGGGTTTCTTCCCATCTGTCTCTGCCCAGGACGGAGCATGCACGTGGTCCTGGAAGTGTTTTGGGGGCAGAGTAGAACAGACGCAGTGGCTTTAGCTCTCTGTGGTGTCCTTGTGGTGAAGTGTTGGTGCAGAGACCGTGCCTTGAGAAGCACTCGCTCCTCTGCTGGGCTGTTTTATGGGAGATGTGGGGTCATTTTGCATCAGGGCTCTCTGGTTCCTGCAGATGCTGGGGTGGGTTTGGTGGTGTGAGGAGCACGTACCCAGCCCCACAGCTCCCTGGGCACCCTGTGATGTGTCTGGCCTGGGGTTGGGTCATGGCCTTTGAGCTGGGTCCATCCCTAACTCAGGGCAACCCCGGGCTCTTCCCCCAGCCTTGGGCTCTGTCCCTCTCCTCTCTCTGGAGGCTTACGAGGATGGAGGCATCCGGGTGGTGTGTCGATCGGCCGGCTGGTACCCGTCACCGGAGGTGCTGTGGAAGGATGGCGAGGGGCAGCATCTCCCCTCAGTCTCTCAGAGACGTTCCACTGATGAGAGGGGCCTCTTTGAGATCCAAGATGTCACCGTTGTGAGCGGGAAGGGAGAGGGGAATGTGTCATGTGTGGTGAGGAACAGTCGTCTGGAGCAGCAGCAGGCGTCGTCCCTGCACATCTCAGGTACAGGATGGCAGCAGGGCTGGGGTTGGCTGCGCTGCTTGAGGGGGTTTAATCTCGGGGGGCTGGGGAAACATGCAAGGGGAGAGGGAAGGGGATGGGGGCGCACCCACAGGTGAGTTTTATTGCAGGAGATAATATGACCCTGGTGTGCTTCAGGGGAGCTTTGGTGTGTCCATGGGATGGGGAGGAGGATGTCCTGTTGAGCTCAGGGCTTCCAGCAGGAGGCTTTAGCAGCTGGTAGTTTGGGGTTGTTTTGGGTTTTTTCTTCTCCTCACACAGGGGAGTGTAAAATGAGGCCTTTTCCCAATGTGGTTTTTTTTCTCAGCTCCCTTTTTCCACAATGCCCGTCCCTGGATGGCAGCTCTGGGTGTGCTCCTCCCACTTTTAGTGATATCTTTTGGTGTCAGTGCTTATCTCTTCCGAAGGAAAGGTGAGTTTGTAGTTGGGGGGATGGAGTGGAGGGGCTCAGGGTGGAGCGAGGCCCATGGACGTATGCAGAATGGGATCAGAGTTGTGTCAGAACAGGTTTTGCCTTCATGAAAGAAGCTCTTTGGGCAAAGGAAGGATGGGGAGAAGGACACGGGGTGTGGGTGGCAGGAGAGGGAGCATGGGCAGAGCATCTGGCTGGTGGGAAGGTCCAAGAGACCCTGGGGAGATGGTGCCAGGGATGAAGCAGCTGCTCTCCTGACCTCTTCTCCTCTGCCTTTGCTTTCCAGTGGTGCTGTCCAGAGCGCTGGGTGAGTCCTTCTGGCCCCTGCCACCAGCAAAGCCTCCTGAAAAAGGAGGTCTCTGGGAGGGCCGTGGTTTGGATAGTTCTTGATGTTTCCTGGTCACTGATGTGGGTTGGTTGAGGCCAGAAGGAGTCTGGAGAGCCCTGGGGTTGGCAACTGGGCACGGGACATGTCCTGGGAGTCTCAGTGAGCTCCTTCAGTCTTGGTATCTTCTCCCAGGCTCTCTCTACTTGGCCACTTCCCCTCTTGCCCATCCCCTCCATCCCTTCATCCCTTGGGTCCGGGGAAGAGGTGGGGGTTGGCCTCTTCTCCCAGGGAAATAATGACCAGATCAGAGGAAATGGTCTGAAGTTGGGGCAGGGGAGGTTTAGATTAGATATTAGGAAGAATTACTTTACTGAGAGAGTGGTCGGGCACTGGAACAGCCTGCCCAGGGAGGTGGTGGAGTCACCATCCCTGGAGGTATTTAAGAAACGTGTAGATGTGGCTCTTCAGGGCATGCTCTAGTGCCCGAGATTATTGGGGTGTGGTGGGGTGTTGTATGTGGTGCTGTTGGTATGGGGCTTGGTTGGTGGGTGTTGTGTGGTGTTTGTTGTGGGTGTGGTGGTTTTTGGTTTGGTTTTGTTTGTTTGTTTGTTTGTTTGTTTTTCTGTGTGGTTGGACTCGATGATCTCAGAGGTCCCTTCCAACCACCAAGATTCTGTGATTCTGTGATTCTGTGAAACCCTGAGGGGATGTGCCTGGGTAGGTTGGGGAAGTCAAGGTCACCAGAGTAGGGCTGGACCCTTAGCACTTCCCAGAGTTACTGGGGACCAGAGTTGGGATGTGACCTGCTCTTGTCTCTCCTTGTAGCTTGGAGAAAGTTTTTACTTCCTGAGACTCCAGGTAAAGTGTATTTTTTTTTATTATTTTATGTTGTTTTATGGGTGGTTCTTCTCCCTTTCCCTCTGTACGAGGCATAACTGGGCTGTCCAGTGAAGGGACTGGCCATGCCTGGGCATGTTGGTGACTCAGACCCCCCAGACCATGGCACTGGGCTGAATCTCAACTTGGTTCCTGCTGTTCCACCCTGTTCTGAGTTACACTGTGCTGGCCCAGAGGCACCATCTCCTGCAAAGCCCCACTGGTGCCTCTTCCCACTGGACTGAGCTCAGCCGTGGCCATGGTGGGGATGGAGAGGAGGAAGGAGATGCCCAGTCTTCTGCCCTGTGGGGCATGTCATGGCCCTGGGGGTTGAAACCTACCCGGGACTGAACGCTGATGATCCAGCTCCTCCTGTCCCCTACAGATGCAGTGACCCTGGATCCAAACACGGCTCATTCTGAACTTGTCCTGTCGGAGGATTTAAGAAGTGTGAGATGGGGGCCCACACGTCCGAACCTGCCTGAGACGCCCAAGACAGTTAATTACTGCTGCTGCGTGCTTGGCCAGGAGAGGTTCCGGGAGGGGAGGCACTGCTGGGAGGTGGAAGTGAAGAGGGACGTGGCAGGTTATTCATGGTGGGGTATTGGCGTAGCCAGAGAGTCTGTGTGGAGGAAGAGGAGGCCTGAAGATCTGAGGCCTGAAGAAGGGATCTGGGCAGTTGAGGGGGATGAATGGCAGTTCAGGGCTCTCACCTCTCCTCGCACCATCCTGTCCCTGTCACGGCTCCCCAGGAGGATCTGGGTCTGTCTGGACTGCACACAGGGGCTTGTAACTTTCCTCAACGCTGACACTGGGGGTGAGATCTTCACTTTCCCACCAGCCTCATTCCATGGGGAGACCCTGCGGCCCTGGTTTTGGGTGGAAACATGGAAAACCCAGCTGTGCCTCAGGGGCAGAAGCGCTCAGACCCTCAGCCCCACTTCCATCCCCACCACAGCCTCCAGCAGACCCTGTCCTTCTCCAGAGACTCCCCACTCTCCTCTCCTGGACCCTGCAGGAGATATCCCTCCCTGCCCTGCCCCAGCCCAGGAAGCAGAGGGGCAGTGAGGGCCAGGAGACAGGGGCTGCTGTGAGGTCCCCCCCAGTGCTGGGAGTCTCCGAGCAGGGTGTGTGTGTCCTCATTTCAGCTTTGATGGAGTTAATTTTCTTTCTAGTATCACCTCCATTTTGGATTTAGTGTGAGAATGACATTGATCATATCTATTTTTATACGTAGCTGAGAAATGTTCACATCAGTCCAAGGGCTTTTCCAGCTTCCCCTTACAGCCAAAAGGGAGCACGGCCAGGACAAGGCAGACAGAGGGATATTCCACCCCAGAGACATCCATCTCGGGATAGAAATACAGTCTTCTGGGCATCTGGGACCCTCCATCACTGCTGGGGATGGGATGGGCAATCAGTCCTCAGGTACTGAGGGCAACTGGTGTTGTATCCGTTTCTTTTGTATATTTTTTTACAATTAATAATGTTATTTTCCTCTACCGTAACTGTTGTCTTAAACTGTTTACTTCATTCCAACCCACAAAGTGATTTCCCATCCTTCTCTCCCTCTTTTCCCCACCCTAATGAGGGGGAGGCGTGAAGTGAGGGAGCTGCTGGCTGGGGTTAAACCATGTTGGGGGGCAAGGGACCGCTTGGACCATCATGGCCCCGCCTTGGTCCCTCTTGGAACCCCTTGAGCCCTTTTGGATCACCGGGGAACCTCTTGGAAGCCCCTTGGAAACCCTTAGATCCCCTTGGGCCCCCTTAGAACCCCTTGGATCCCCTTGGAGCTGTGCTGGAACACCCTTGAACACATCTGACTGCCTTAGTCCCCTTGGGACCTCTTGGATCCCCTCAGATCCCCCTCCAATCCTCTCAGATCCCCTGGAACCCCTTGCAACCCCTTGGATCCCCTGGGCTCTGCCCGGCATGTACTCACCAGGAGCATCCCTCTGTGCGCCGAATGACCCTTTTCTAAAGAAAACTGCTTTTTCTCTAGCCAATTGCCTTCCCATTAGACACTGGGTGAAGCCGCCTGTGCCTTTTTGTTTATTTGGGGGATTTTGGGCTCTATGTTCGATAACATCTTTGTCCCGGAGCAGCTTTAGGTGCAGGAGAAGAGGAAACTTCTGAGAGTGGAAGGAATTCCCAGCCTGGGGCTATTTTACAGTGATATTTTGTGTTATTGACAGTCACTGCTGTGGGGACCAGGGGTGGCCCTGGGCCAGGGCCAGGGGGTGGCTGAGCCCAGAGGGACATGGGAAGGGACAGGGGGATGTGCAGGAAGGTGCTGGGACTGTGGAAATGGAGAACAAAGCTCAGATGGGGCATCCCCGACTCCTGGGGCT